CATACTCGACCACTTGAAGCACACCCTTAGTCCTTCTTGCTTTTAGTTACTTTTCAGGTAGATTCTTGTGATGTTTACCCAGACCTAGACAAGGATGTGATCATCCAATCTACTATCTATCATTTCCCGAATAGCTGAGATTACAGGCATGCACTATCATGCCCAGCTGAAAAAAATCAGTGTTTTCAACCAGTTGCCAGTGAGTTAAGTGAGGTAGATGTGAGAGAGCTTGCTTAAAGAAATGCATTCACCGTCTGGACCCTATGCTTTGCCAGAGAGCATCTACCACTAGAGTCAAAGTGGCCCAGAGCTGAGTCTGTTGGGATCTTGAGGCACACAGTGGTCAGGCAGAAGCTGCCAGGTTTAAATGAGCTCAATTTGTCACAGATTTGTCAGCCAAGGTTTGATCATTGCTAAAGGAATCTCAACATGGTTTGGTTTTCTTTGAATCTCACTTTTTCCATATCTTTTAATAGAAAGACACAGGGGGTGAGGGTAATTGGAGGAAAGGCAGGGACACTGCCAAAAGGACTCGAGATTTGTCCTAGTTGGGAGGTTTTAACAAAAATGGAAAATTCTCCTCTGCACTTGTTCCGACCCCTCCTTTGACCTTTATTTTTCTAGAAACACTTAAGCACGTGCCTTGGCCTGCCTGCCAGCCTGCCCTCCTCACTGAGCCTCAGAAAGACATGGGTGTAGGTCAGACTTCTTGGCCTAGGAGGAGGCAGGACTTCATGCAGGCTGCTCATGGCAGCTGAAGACTCAATTTAAGCAACTCTCATGTCAAGCTCTTAGAATGGCATCCTAAATAGAAATGACTTGCTGAATAGAAAACCCATACCCCACTTCATAAGAAAAGAAAGTGACCTTTTTTCCCCTTGCTTTCCATGTTTTTTGTCTTTGTTTTGGGCAGTTCTAAGTTTTGTTTTGTTTTTAATTCAGAGCCTTGAGTGCTCTACCACTTGAGCCACACCCTTGGTCCTTCTTTTGCTTTTTAATTTATTTTCAGGTAAGGTCTCACTCAGACCACAACCTACCCTCCCACTTGTCTCCTGAGTAGCTGAAATCATAGGTGAATTTCTTCTCTTCCCCCACCATCTCCCAGCCCTCCCTCAGCTTGTTGATAGACGCATCTTGTTTTTGTTTTGTTTTTTTGTTTTTTAACCCAGGCTGGCCTGAAACTTTGATCCTCTCAATATCAACTTCCCAGTATCAACTATAACTGTGAGCCACTGCACCCAGCCAGTTGTTTAATTTTGATGGGTGTCTATGGAGCATTAGTGATGCTGGCAGCAAAGCAATCAGGACCTGAGGTAAAAGTTTCTATCAGCTGTCCTGACACTAAAAGGCCTCTTTCTCTAGTGCTGGAAGAATCCTACCAAGGTATCTCCTCTTATAATTTGTCTTCATAGGTATGAAGCCTCCATTTGCAGAGTTCCAGCAACCTGGAGGTGCCAGAAGAATAAGGCTTTTAAACCTGCAGTGCTGGACTGGATGTAGAGCTGGCTGGAGCTCCTCCCACAACAGACAATGGATCTAGCACAATCCTGCAGCCCCTCCCAAGGCCAGAAGTAGAAAGGGACTCCAAGTCCCATAAATCCCTGCTCACACACCATACTCTCCCAGCATGCCTCCTTTAGGAACAGAAAGAGCACGCCAACCCCCCCACCCCCCCACCCCCGCCAACCCCACCCCCCACCAACCCCCCCCCCCCCCCCCACCAATGGGATCTGACCACATGCAGTTTCTGAAGGTCAGGTCAGTTATACCCCTTGTAACTTGCCATACAGGCTAAAATTAAGCTTCAGTGCCTCAGCAGGCTCCAGAACATGTAAGACTCCTGCTGCTTCTAACACAGGCAGCCCCAGGCCCAGACACTCTGGGAAGCTCTCTGTTACCGCCTATCTTCTCCTTCTCTCCCCCTTCCCATTTCCACCTCTGGATCTCTACTCCTGTCATCCTGCTGTCTAGAATGCATTCTTCACACTTTTCCCCCCCTTTTACCTCACACTGTACCCCAAGGCCTGACTTAACACCCCACTCTTACCCCAAGGCTTTCCCTACTGTGGCCACATATGCAGATGCTCCCTGTCATGGGGGGGGGGGGGACGGGTAACAGTTTTGCCTGTCTACCCTGGCCTTGTTGCAGTCTTCACTAGTTACAAGTCACTCCATTTTTCCATCCTTCCATTTGCATATGAGCAGATGGGAAGGAGACGAGGAGAAGGCAACTCTGAGGACTAAGATAGTATAACTAAAGCCAAGTTCCTACTGGAGGGCCAGCAGGATCTCTAAGCCACCCAATAAATCTCTAGACACCTTCCACCTACTGTCTCCCTAAAGCCTCCCACTACGCACAACGCAGGCAGCTCAGTGTCTGGTTTAGGGGAAGAACACACAGGTGCTTGGCTAATGTTTGAGTGTGTTAACAAATTACTTCAGAGATGGAGTACTCATTATGTTGGTGGCATCGCTGCTTCCAAGATCTATGACAATGGAAGCAATCGTTGGTCACCAGTGGTGCATGCTTGTGATCCTAGCAAGAGGTTGAGATGTAAAAGTCCTAGTTCGAAGCCAGCCCAGGCAGACAAATCCACACAACTGTTTATCACCAAATGAGCAACAAAAGGCCAGAAGGAGAGATGTGGCTCAAGTGATAAGAGTGCCAGCCTTGAGCAAAGAAAACTGAGAGAGCAGAGTTGATGCGGATATAAAACAAATAAAAAAGAACAACGAATTGATTAAATAAATATTTTAAACTGGTATTTGAAAAATCTTATCTGAAAAGAGTCTACATTTCTGAATTGTTTTGCCAGTACTGGCCTTAAGCTCTTTCAGCTTACTTGCTCAGCTGGTGTTGTACCACCTGAGCCACACCTCCAGCCCTACTTTTTGCTAGTCAACTGGAAATGGAGTCCTATGAAGTTCAAACTTTTCTGCCTGAGCTAACTTGAAAACCACAATCCTCCAGGTTTCAGCTTCCACAGCACCATGAGCCATGATTGCCCGCTTTATTTTTTTTTTAAGTCTAAAGAAGCCTCCAAGGAAAAAATAATTCAAAAGAGGAGAGAGATTTTCTGGGTCTTTAGTAATACATCCCTTGGTTTAGCAAAATGACTACTAGAAGTTGAGAAGAGAAGGTAAATTTTATTGGTGTGGTTTTTAAGATCTGTGTTATCTACACTCAGAGCTGAGGGAAACAGGGTCATCCCCAGTCAGTGCCTGCCCCAAAACACCTCGCATGCACTTTCTACCCCATTAGTGGAAAAGGCCAGGCAGACTCTGCCACTCTGGTCTCCGTCACCCCCTTTGCTTCCCAGCGTGAACACATATTTGCCTGAAGCATCCTTGGGACTCCCCGGTGTTTTTTATGGTTGTTGGTTTTGTGCTGCTAATGGGCCTTGAACTCAGGGCCTGGGCACTGTCCCTTGGCTTTGTTGCTTAATGCTGGCACTCTATCACTTGAGCCATAGCTCCATTTCCAGCTTTTAGGTGGCTAATGGGAGATAAGACACTCACACACTTTCTTACTCAGGCTGGCTTCAAACCTAGATCCTCAGAATTCAGCCTCCTGAGTTGCTAGAATGGCAGGTGTGAGCCACTGGGGTCCAGCTGAGACTTGTTTTAGAGAACTCATGATGAAAATTCTGGAGCCTGTTAGAGGATCTGAAGGTTCTAAAGCCTTCTAATAAAATCCACATCTTCAACTTTACAAAGATATAGCCCCTTAGACACAAATTATGGCAAAACTCTCAAGTATTTTTTTCACCTGTCCTCCTCCCCAAACTCAGTGTTTTCTAAAATGAAAAACTGCAGGTACCATTTTTTAAAGAGACAATTAATAGAGACGCTAAGCACTTCCATATATCATCTCATTTAACCCTGACAAGGAAATGTGTGAGAAATAAGCAGCTTGGGAGCAGCCTGACTTTCCTCCAGCAGCCAGGATTCCCAGTGAACTCTGACACCAAAGCTTTTCCTGTGATCATTACACAATGCCACATTAGTCACAAAATATTGGGGTTTTTTTTCCCCCTTGCAAAATAAGTGTGTCTTCAAACAAAATCCTGTGCTCAATATCATAGCAGAACCCAGAAGGCCCTTGTTTGCTAGGTCAGTATGATTCCTTCACAACAGGGATAAAACACACATACTAAAAAAAAAAAAAGGTGGTAACAAAATGAGGATTCCAAAGATAACTTCACCTTTGACCTCTTCCCTCCCTCCTCCCCGCTCCCCAGCCCTCAGGCCATCGGAGCAAGCTTGGGAACAACCAAAATGAACCTGTCTGTGGTCAGTTTCCCAGTCTGAGTTGGTGAAGCACTACTACCTCACCTCCAGCTCCAGCCAGTGAGTCATGAGAGGAGGCCAGGGCTCCAGGGAGCAGAATCCCACAGCTGCACAGCCGAGAACCAGAATGACAGCAGCCACAGGTGTGTGTCATCTACCTCCCCCATGGGCTCTCCCCCTGGGCCCACATAACCCATGCGCATCTCTAACCAAGGGGAACACACAGCTTGTCTGCTCAGCAGTATGAACCTGGCTTGATCATCTGCGCCCACACAACTCACTACTCGGGAGGAAAATAATGAGTCTACCCTCCAAGCCCTGAAATGCGCAGGGGAGTGGGGGGGGGCCTCAAAACTTTGCTGAACTTTCAAACTGAAATATTTCATTGCACTTGGGAGTGTAGCTGGTCGTACAAGCAGCCAAGTTCCAACCCCACTCTCATCATGAGGCCTATGGTTTGTTGGGGTTTTTGTTTTTTTTTTTTCTGAAAGCACATTATTAATGGTCGAGAGTTCCAAACAGATCCTGCTGGCCAAGATTTGTCTGGCAAAGGAAACTATCTTCTGCAACATGGGGAAGTAAAGCTCAATTCCAATCTTCTTGCAAAACTTTTCACCTACTAGGGGCTTGAGAGAAAAAAAAATCACAACTGCAACACAATCAGCATTCCCTAAAGAAATCTCAGCTTCCCAGCGGTGGGGTGCACTTACCCTCAGCATTGGAACTGATGTCCTCCATTCCTACCACATACCTCCCTTGACTCAGGGGCGGTGTGTGGTCTGGCACTGGGTGACCAGGAAGGATGATTTCCCCTTCCGGAGGGGCTGCAGGAACATCCGGTTCTGAAGGTACCGCCCCTTCGCTGTGCCCAGGGTAGGGTGGTGGGCCTTCCAGTGGGGGAGCCAGTGACCCTCTATTGGCCTCTGGTGGAGATGGGCTTCTAGCCCCTGTCTGGTCCAAAGGTTCTGCTTGGCCTTTTAAATCCGGGGTCTCTACCTCCTCCAGGGAGGCACCCTCTTTGGTCTGAGGGTCCAGAGTGGTCAGTTCTGCTTCTGGGTAGATTGGCCATTCACTGGGTGCTGGGTGTGGTAAGGGGGCAGCTGGATCAACTCCAAAAGGGCCTGCATCAGTTTTCCTGTGGAAGGACACATCAGTTCTGCTGTGGCCGTTTGGTGCCTCCTCTGGCAAACCTGGGGGGTATTCAACTTCCTCCTCATTCTCATCGTAATAATCCAAATTGTCCTCAGTATAGTCACCTTCCAAGGCTGCAGCGTGGCTAAAAGAATGTTGCAGGGGAGCTGAAGAGTGAGCTGTGGAAAGGTCTCCTCCAACTGTGGCTGGCCTCACATTGTCCAGAGGGAATCTGCTGCCAATATGAAATGCCCACACCCCAGGAATCCCCAGGTTGCTTTGTCTAAATAGAAAAGAAACAGTAGAGGGTATCAAAAAACATGTCTACTCACCCTCCTTCCCACAAAACTAAGTCTATTTTTTAAAACCGAAAGCCTTTAAAAGGATTATACTGGAGTTTCAACGTCAACTACCTTTCCTTTAATGTTAAGTTTCAAATGCCAGATCATGTTATAAATCAAAATGTTTTGTCTAAAACAAGGCTACGTGAGCTGGGCACCAGTGGCTCACACTTATAATCCTAGCTACTCAGGAGGCTGAGATCTGAGGATCCTGGTTCAAAGCCAGCCCAGGCAGACAAAACCCAAGAGACTCTTAGTTCCAATTAACTGACAAAAGGCCAAAAGTAGAGATGTGGCTCAATTGGTAAAGTGCCAGCCTTGAGCAAAAAAGCTAAGGAAGAACATGAAGTCCTGAGTTTAGGCCTTATGCCAGCACAAATAAATACATGCATGCATACCTATATACATACAGATGTATCAGGCTATATATACATACAGATGTATCAGGCTACATATTCATACAGATGTATCAGGCTATATATACATACAGCTGTATCAGGCTATTTGAAAACAGAATTGTGAAAATGTTTTATTCTCCTTTTATTTGTCTGAAAATGTATAACATTCAAGGAAAAAAAATGCTTAAAATTTGTCTCCAAACACTTAAGGGATAAGAACTACTGTATGCTTTGATCACCTGCCAGCCTCTGTGCTGAGAGTTTGACATTTTTCACTCAAGATATGTATGGTGTTTGTGTACAATTTTACTGAGGAAAAACTAGGTTTAGAGAGGCTAATGTTTTTTTGTTTTTGGGTCCAGTTGTGGGGCCTGAACTCTGGGCCTGGGCGCTGTCCCTCAGCTCTTCAGCTCAAGGCTAGCGCTCTACCACTTGAGCCACAGTGCCACTTCCGGCTTTTTTCTTTTTGCTTATGTGGTACTGAGGAATCGAACCCAGCACCTTAGGCATGCAAGGTAAGCGCTCTACCACTGAGCCACCTTCCCAGCCCGAGGCTAATGTTTTTAAGGCCACACAATTTGTAACTGGCAGAGCCAAGACCTGAATTCAGTGTTTATACCAAAGTCCATAATCTAAACATCTACACATTGTTATGTCAGAAAGACTGCACAATACAGTCAGTATCTGCGTGATCATCATGTGATGGAGAGCTAAGGACATTTCACTGTGACTCGTAGAATTAATCTACTAATAAATCTGAGAATAATAGAAAAAAATTCAAAAACATATAAATGTCCCAGGATTAAAAAGTTTTTGCGCCAGAAGCTGGTGATGTACACCTTTAATCCTAGCTACTCAGGAGGCTGAGATCTGTGGACTGTGCTTCAGAGACAGCTTGGATGGGAAAGTCCATGAGACTCTTATCTCCAATTAACCACTAAAAAGCTGAAAGTGGAGCTGTGGCTTAAGTGGTAAAGCACAATCTTGAGCAAAATAAGCTCAGGGATAGCACCCAGACCCTGAACTCAAGCCTCAGGACCTGCACAAAAATAAATACCTATCATTAAGCTTTCTAGAAAATGCAGAACAAAGTGAAGGAGAAAAATAAGAACGTAACTTAATCAGAATGTAAGAGGTCATAGGTGAGAGGTGTCTCTGGAAAATCTGAAAAAAATCATTTTTTTCCACAGAGAACATGGACTCCACCCTGTCTTCAAAATATTCAAATAATCCATTACTTGAGAGTCAATGATACATTCTCAAGAGAACTACTACACACAAGATTTCTAAAAATAACAGAAAATCTTAAGCTAGCAAAGATCTTGTTACCTTGAACATACCACTATGTATGCTGTTGTTTATACAAAATACTATGCTCAAATTCTACTCTATGGAATTTAATCAAAAGTCAACAATGAAGAATGAGAATGAATAACTAATAAGCTAACTTTAAAAGCTGGGTGCCAGTGGCTCACTCCTGTAATCCTAGCTACTCAGGAAGCTGAGATCTGAGGATTGCAGTTTGAAGCCAGCCTGAGCAGAAAAGTCTGTGAGAGAGACTCTCATCTCCAATTAATCACACACAAAAAAAGCCACAAGTAGTGCCTTGAACAAAAAGAGCTCAGGGACAGCACTCAAACCCAGAATTCAAACCCCAGGACCAGCAAAAAAATAAATAAATAAAAATCATTCAATAGTTTAAAAAGAGACTTTTACTCTTTTGAGCAGGAATCATGTTTATTTAGATTTCACTATCAGCATTTTCAATACAATTTGAGATTTTCTTTTCTCCCTTCTTCTCTCCTGTTTGCTCCACCTCTGTGTGTGTGTGTGTGTGTGTGTATTTGTGACTTTTTGTATATTTTATTACTGCTGTTCTAGTTAATATAGGGATAAGAAACGCTGAAAGAGGAAAACTGCCATTACATGTACAGTGTGTCAGATACACTGAATATATTCCATAAGAATTCAGGCTAGTGTTGTTTTTCAGCAAGAAAAAGGAGGGAAAGTAAAAGATAAAAGAAACTCCTAGACGTTTGAGGAGATATATTATCACATTAGAGGTGTTGCAGCTGTGAAACTTCTGCAACTTAGAGATGGAAAACTAGAAAAGCTTCAGAAAGTAAGAAAATATAAATTACAGTAAATAGAGGCTAAATAAAATAGGCTCTAATGAAATATAAATCACTATTTTGGCTTTTGTACATGATGGAAAAGACACCAATCTAAGTTGATTCTAAACTCCAAGGTCATTTGGAAACCTTAGTAATTGAACTGTACTATATCCCTGCACAATGAGAAGGGATACTCTCTTGTCTGGGTTGTTTAAAAGATTCAATAAGGAAAAACACAAGAAATGCACAGCACAAGCTCTGTGCATAATACCTACATAGTAACTACTGTCTTCCCTTTTATAAGATAGAAAATATAGCCAGACACCAGTAGCTCATACCTATAATCCTAGCTACTCAGGAGGCTGAGAACCAAGGATCATGGTTCAAAACCAACCCAAGCAGCAAAGGCACAGAGACTCTTATTTCCAATTAACCACCAAAAAGCCAGAAGTGGAGCTGGGCTCAAGTACAACACTAGCCATGAGCAAAAAAGCTAAAAGACAGCATGTAGGCCCTGAGTTGAAGCTTCAGTACCAGCACGCACACACACAAACACACACACACACACTAATTAACAAATTAAATTTTAAAAAATAAAGGGAGAGATGGCAAGGACCTCAGCTAGCAGCAGGCCACATGAAGATGACTGATGTGGGCCATGGAATGGAAAAGAAGAGCTAAGTACAAAATAGAACAAAGTGCTCCATGCTCTAGAACTGAGCTTAGACTGTGTCTAAGGCCAATTAACCCTAAGGGTACAGGCATCTCACTTAACTTCACTACACTGACTTGTAAAATTGAGAAAATCACTTGCCTCCTACAATTTGGGTAAGTTTTAATGGCTTTTCCTCACCATCCCTTGTTAATTCAGCGTATAGACCTTTTAATGTAAGATCACATCTGGAAAGTGTTTTTCACAGTGCTTAGTAAATGATAAGCTCCCGTTGAAGGACAGCTCGGAGAGTCTCTGGCTGTAGTGCCCAGTCCAGAAGCCAAGCAGAGCAAATGTAAAAGTAGAAGGTGTTCCTCTAACCCAAGAATGAATTAATGAAACTGAAAAGAAAAAGTAACCAATGTGTTCTGGACCAGTATTTAGGGAAGAATTAAGGCAAAGACTAAAAAGCACAGCAAAACAAAACCCACTGGGGTTCATAAAGCTCATATTAGCTCAAGAACCTCTCATTCCATTAGCAGAGGAAGCCATTGGTGAGACTAAGGAATATCTTCACTTCTGGGGACTCCATAAGAATGAGTTCAGGTTATGAAGCCACAGAAAAATGCTTAAATTTCTAAAAATCTACCACCGATTTAATTTTTCCTCATACGACCTTTTATATCCTGGACAACCTGATTTTCCTAGGGTTCAGTCTGATTCCTGGCTTTCTTCGAAGCCACCGAGCTATTGTCTTGTGTCCTATGGCCACTTAGAAGTCATTACACTGAAACAGTCCAGGACACTCCCTTGTTACTTACTGGTAGAGGTTTTTCACAGACTGTTCATTGCTAGTCAAGCTGAAATATGATCCTTCTCTCTTCAGGTCCTCAGACTCGCCTCGGCAAAAGCCCACCCGAGCTGGAAGCTGGAGCTGGACATTATAGGATTCTTTGGGGCGGGTTCCAAAGAATTGAAGACCATTGATGGGATATAGAAAGAGGGCGTAGGTATCCGACTCATCAGATGCCAGAACTGCCTGGAAAGTGTTCAGCTGTGGAATAGAAGGAATTGGAAACATCCTTAATGAAACAAACAAACAAAGGAAAATTAAATAGATGGGCAAGCCACCGGAGTATAAAGGAGAGTTGCCCTTCTCACAATTTCTCCAAGTTAGTTTTCAATGTAATTTCCTTTCGAATGTCCTCTTCAAATTACCAGTATAATCTTATATTATTTATTACTAGAAGCATCTTCTATCAATTTAGATGAGTAGTCAAAATACGCATAGGTAAAACATAGGTTAGGTTGTACATTTTTTATTTTAAGGTGGCGAACTTCTCTCATCCAAAACCCTTTCTCAGATTTAAAAGCAAGAAGCAAAATGAACTTGTGCATTCCCACAGGCCCTTGTTTATGACTCTAGGCACTCAGCCTCTCTCATTGGATCATTCATTCATTTAGTAGTTCATCTATTAATTAAATACCCATTAAGAGCAAGCATTGTGTTAGGCATTGGCAGATCCAAAGGTCTCCTCCTTGCTGGTACAGCCTCACTCTCTTTTCTTTCCCATGTCCCCTTTCACATTAACACCAGATTGACCTAGAGGGTCAGATAGCAAGCCACTGGAACTACTCCTTAGCATGCCACTCAAGGGTACTGGTGGCAGGCTCAGTTCCACTACATTTTCGTCAGAAGACTTAACAGTCCCCATCTGTAACTTGTGCTTTGATGCTCCTACTCTTTGTCATATTTCTCTAAACAAACAAACAAAAAATTCCTCTTAATCTTCTGACCCTTGAAAGGGTACTCTGACTTCCTGTAGAATCATTTCTGCTATCTGACCTGCAATAACACCTTTGTAGATGCTTCTATTTATCATTCACCTCATTTTGCTTGGTTAGCTGTTTTTAAACACCATTCATTTATCCATCTATACATTTAATTCAAACAGCTGAGTGCCTACTAAGTATCAGACATTGTGCTTCATGCTCACAGACTGTGCCCAGGAGAGCCCCACAGTTTAAAAGACATAATCACAGTTGCAATTGTGAAAGAGTGATCTGGGACTGGGAAGGTGGCTCAGTAGTAGAGTGCTTGCCTTGCATGCATGAGGCCCTGGGTTCGATTCCTCACCACCACATAAGCAGAAAAAGCTGAAGTGGCGCTGTGTCTCAAGTGGTAGAGCGCTAGCCTTGAGCTGAAGAGCTGAAGGACAGTGCCAAGGCCCAGAGTTCAGGCCCCACAACCAGCAAAAAAATAATAATAAATTTTAAAAAATAAAAGAGTGATTTGACAGGCGGAAAAGGCCATAGCGGAAGGGATGGCGGTGGGGCAGCCCCACAGAGGCCTGTGATTGTTGCTTAAACACTGCAGAAGACTAGAGAGACCAGGAGCCTGAATTAGCTCCACACTCAACACTCAATGTGACTGTAGAATGGCTCTGATTATCTTAAAAAGATGCTATATTTAGGACTGTCAGTCTGCCTCACACTCATTTTATAATTTAGTAGGGAACTGGGGAGGAATGTTTTTTAAATCCTACTTACTTTATAAATAACATGACTCTTTGGGATGTCACTTACTGGTAAGTATTCTTGCGTCCCATTTTGCTAGACGCAGGAAGGAAGGAGTCCTTGCTTTTGATCTGTCCTGAGTCCTTGGCTCTATTGTCCTATGTTAATTTTTGTAATGTTAATTTTTTGAAATGTTAATTTTTCCTTTTGCTGCCTAATTTCAAAATATAGTTTTTTGAGATTCTGCCAACAGAGAATAAAGAAATAAGGTGTCCAACATATTTTTAAAAAACAACAACAACAAACTAGGCTGGGAAGGTGGCTCAGTGGTTGAGTGCTTGTCTTGCACGCATGAGGCCCTGGGTTGATTCCCCATAATCACATAAGCAGAAAAAGCTGGAAGTGGCGCTGTGGCTCATGTGTTAGAGCACTAGTCTTGAGCTGAAGAGTTGAGGGACAGCATCCAGGCCCAGAGTTCAGGCCTCACGACCCGCAAAAAAAAACAAAAAAAAAAAAACTATACAACTTTGAGTTCTGTAACACAATTACATCTTGCTTTGCCTTTTTTTCTTTCTTTCTTTCAATTCCCAAGATAAGACACAGGAGACCCACTGTGTCTGTTATTGTTTTATTTGTTGACGGTCTCATTCAGCAACACTGGACTTTTCTCCCAAACAAGGGACCAGGAGAGTTCTCTAGAATCTCACAAAAGGCAGGTAGCCTCAACCTCTCCCAAGTAGAAACAAAGATTGACCCTCCTCATGTCTCTACATATTACATATTTCATCAATTAATATGATGAGTTCAATCAATTAATATAAATCACTTCAGTTTTATTTCAATCTGAATAAATTATATTCAACCAGGTAAAGAAAAGTCATCCAGGGAAGAGGAAGAATCTTATCTGAAAAAGCTAAGCTTTAAAAACTGCTGCTAGCATAGACGCTCCACAATCAACTCAAGATAGGAGAAATCCTGTTTCTAAGTTTAGAGGACTTCTGTATGATAAGGTGGTTATATAGATTGGGAGGAATTGAAGGCTGGGAGGGATGAGAATAAGTAAACAGAACTAAGAAGGGGACAATCTGGCTTTTTAAAAATATAATTTTATCACTACTAAGGTGTTGGACACAGGGTTACCACTTCATAAGTCAGGTAATTTGGGCATTGTTTTTGGACAATGTCACCTGAGAATCTGGCTTTTTACTGTGTGTATCTGGATTTTTTGTTTTTGGTTTTTTTTTTTTTAGTACTTTATCTTATTCTGTCAATCGGTTAGCTATATTCATTTCAATTAAAATGTATTCCTGGCTACTCACGAACTGAGATCTAAGAATTAAGATTCAAAGCCAGCCTAGGCAGACAAATCCAAAAGACTCTTATTTCCAATTAACCAGCAAAAAAAAATCTGGAAGTAAAGGTGTGGCTCAAGTAGTAGAGTGCCAGTCTTGAGCAAAAAAAGCCAAGCAAGAAAGCAGGGCCCTGAGTTCAAGCCTCTGTACTGGCACCACACAAACAAACAAAACAAAAAAGCTTCAATGTCTCTTATATGTTAATCTGAGACCAGTACTCATAAAGGTGGCCAGAGTGTTATTTGCAAATATCAGAAGCAGAAAACACTTCCTTCTAATAAAATCTATGATTCCCAAAGCACAATTTAAAAAAAAAAAAATGTTTGACTCTTTCAAATCCACCCACACACCAAAAGAACATTTGTGAAGTTCTTCGTCAGATCTACAAATTCTACATGGAACTGCGAACACAGCCACTTCACACCATCCTGAAGGGTTCTCTCCCAGGCACTACTTGACTTACTTCCAAACCGGAAAGGTCCTCACATTCCTACACACAAGGGCCCCACATGCTCCCCAGCAATCTGAAGGGAAACCCTCAGAAGGGCTGCCAAAGCCTACACAGGGGTCACCAGTTCCCAACTTCCCCAGGATCCCAGAGAGCAGAGAGGGGCCTCCTTTGGGGAGAGAGGAGCACAGAGCGAGTAAGGCCCGGGCTGCAGGGCAGGAGGCTCCTGTCATCTTGTTATCAGAGAGAAAAGCCAGAAACCTGGGCAGAAACCAAGCAAGAGGCTGCTTCTCCACTTCAGGTTCAGGACATTGCTGCCCAGTGTTGATCTGACACTTGGCAGAATTAGGTTGGTAGAAATAAGAATGTTCCTCTAAGGCTTTCTAATTTTTGCAATTTGTTTAATAATAATAATAAGAGCCATCTGACAACACACAAAAAAAATCGTAACAGTGCCATCCTTCTCTCTAAATGATCTGCTCACATAGACTCAGCCAAGGGAAAATTGAGAATTAAGGTGACTCCTCCAGAGGTCACAAAGGTCTCCTTCGTGTCTTTCTGGGGACTGGTGATAAGTAGAGTTGTGCGACTGGTGTTAGGTATATAAATAACACACACAAACCCCCACCTTGTAATTCTTCATCTCCCATTTACTCAGGGACAGTCTCCCATGCCTGGCTTTTATTCCTTCTTCCAGGAATAAGCTTCCTAAATCCTACAGCTCTTGTCAGAAAGTTTCAAATAAATACTTAGTCCTGAGACATCCCCGATGTTCTATCCTTCCCAAAACTTGTCTTCAGCAAAACTTCAGCAGTTCTGAAACTAATTTCCACGTGTACCTCTATTGTGCCTTTACAGCTATCTCCCAGACTAAGGGCAAACAAACTCTCAGATAAACTACAGACATCAATCTCTCTTCTGGAAACCCAACTCCAAAAGTCAAAAAAGATAAACCAGGTGCGGAGGTTCACACCTGTAATCCCAGCACCTGGGAGACTAAGGCTGGGATTGTGAGTTTAAGGCCATTCAGCGCTAAGCAGTGAAACTCTATCTCAAAAAAGAAAAGAAAGCCAGGCGCTGGTGGCTCAGGCCTGTAATCCTAGCTACTCAGGAGGCTGAGATCTGAGGATCATGGTTCAAAGCCAGCATGGGCAGGAAAGCCCATGAGACTCTTATCTCAAATAAAACCGCCAGAAAACCAGAAGTGGTGTTGTGACTTAAGTGGTAAAGTGCTCGCCTTGAGCTGAAGAGCTCAGGGACAGCATCCAAGCAAGAGTTTAAGCCCCATGAATGACAAAGAAAAAGAGAGAGGGGGGAGGGAGAGGAGAGAGAGAGGGAGAGGGAGAGAGAGGGAGGAAGAAAGGAAGGAAGGAAGGAAGGAAGGAAAGAAGGAAGGAAGGAAAGAAGGAAGGAAGGAAAGAAGGAAGGAAGGAAGGAAATTGTTACAACATTCAGTAGCTTTGTTGGTGGATGATGATGATCCTTTGCACCAAGTCAAAATGCCCCATTCAGCAGGGCACTCATGCCTGGTGGCTTCACTCCTGTAATCCTAGCTACTCAGGAGGCTGAGGTCTGGGAAACACAGTTCAAAGCTAGCCCCAGTAGGAAAGTCTGTGAGACTCTTATCTCCAATAAACCACCAGAAAAATGGTGGAGCTGTGGTTCAAGTGGTAGAGCGCCCTCACCTTAAGCTCAAGAGCTGAGGGACAGGGCCCTAGCCCAAAGTTCAAGCCCCAT